TATCATTATCATTATCATTATCATTATCATTATCATAAATATCATAATAATCATTATCATTATCATAAAAATCATAATAATCATTATCATTATCATTATCATTATCATTATCATTATCATTATCATTATCATTATCATTATCATAAAAATCATAATAATCATTATCATTATCATAAAAATCATAATAATCATTATCATTATCATTATCATAAAAATCATAATAATCATTATCATTATCATAAATATCATAATAATCATTATCATTATCATTATCATTATCATTATTATTATTTTGATATCATTATCATCATTGTTAATATCATCACTATTATCATTATCATAAAAATCATAATAATCATTATCATTATCATAAAAATCATAATAATCATTATCATTATCATTATTATTATTTTGATATCATTATCATCATTGTTAATATCATCACTATTATCATTATCATAAAAATCATAATAATCATTATCATTATCATTATCATTATCATTATCATTATCATAAATATCATAATAATCATTATCATTATCATAAATATCATAATAATCATTATCATTATCATAAATATCATAATAATCATTATCATTATCATTATCATTATCATTATTATTATTTTGATATCATTATCATCATTGTTAATATCATCACTATTATCATTATCATTATCATAAATATCATAATAATCATTATCATTATCATTATTATTATTTTGATATCATTATCATCATTATTATTATTTTGATATCATTATCATCATTATTATTATTTTGATATCATTATCATCATTGTTAATATCATCACTATTATCATTATCATTATCATAAATATCATAATAATCATTATCATTATCATAAAAATCATAATAATCATTATCATTATCATTATTATTATTTTGATATCATTATCATCATTATTATTATTTTGATATCATTATCATCATTATTATTATTTTGATATCATTATCATCATTGTTAATATCATCACTATTATCATTATCATTATCATAAAAATCATAATAATCATTATCATTATCATTATCATTATCATTATCATAAAAATCATAATAATCATTATCATTATCATTATCATTATCATTATCATTATCATTATCATTATCATTATCATTATCATTATCATAAAAATCATAATAATCATTATCATTATCATTATCATTATCATTATCATTATCATTATCATAAAAATCATAATAATCATTATCATTATCATTATCATAAAAATCATAATAATCATTATCATTATCATTATCATTATCATTATTATTATTTTGATATCATTATCATCATTATTATTATTTTGATATCATTATCATCATTATTATTATTTTGATATCATTATCATCATTGTTAATATCATCACTATTATCATTATCATAAAAATCATAATAATCATTATCATTATCATAAATATCATAATAATCATTATCATTATCATTATCATTATCATAAAAATCATAATAATCATTATCATTATCATTATCATTATCATTATCATAAATATCATAATAATCATTATCATTATCATAAATATCATAATAATCATTATCATTATCATTATCATTACCATTATCATTATCATTATCATTATCATTATCATTATCATAAATATCATAATAATCATTATCATTATCATTATCATAAATATCATAATAATCATTATCATTATCATTATTATTATTTTGATATCATTATCATCATTATGGTTATTGTTAGTACTATTGTTGATATTATCATTATCATAAATATCATAATAATCATTATCATTATCATTATCATTATCATAAATATCATAATAATCATTATCATTATCATTATCATTATCATTATCATTATCATTATCATTATCATTATCATAAATATCATAATAATCATTATCATTATCATTATCATTACCATTATCATTATCATTAATATTATTTTGATATCATTATCATCATTATGGTTATTGTTAGTACTATTGTTGATATTATCATTATCATAAAAATCATAATAATCATTATCATTATCATAAATATCATAATAATCATTATCATTATCATTATCATTATCATAAATATCATAATAATCATTATCATTATCATAAATATCATAATAATCATTATCATTATCATTATCATAAAAATCATAATAATCATTATCATTATCATTATCATTATCATTATCATTATCATTATTATTATTTTGATATCATTATCATCATTATTATTAGTGTTATTTTTTAAATCATTATTATTATTTTGATATCATTATCATCATTGTTAATATCATCACTATTATTATCACCATTATCATATTCATCATTATCATAATCACTATTTTTTGTTAATCATCCTATTACACTTTCATTATCATTATCATTATCATTAATATCATTGCCGTTACAATCAGTATTTTCATGGTTGCTATCAAGATCATTAGCATTATAGCTACAGTTACTATTACTATCAATAATACGTACTTATGTTCATTATCATTGTTCATTCATCATGTTCATTGCCGTTTTCTGTTAAAGTTACTATTGTCATCATCAGTGGTAACAACTGCAGAACCAAAAAATGGCATTAAATGTCAACAGTGTATTAAAATTTTGGGAATTATGTCACACACTTGATTTGTTAATGATGTTATATGACGGATGGATACATATATAGCTTTTTAACAAGTTGAATTATTATAATTGGGAGTGATTATTTCCCATACCCATATCCGCCACCATAGCCGCCTCCACGACCGCCGCCATAACCACCACCATAGCCTCCACGGCCGCCTCCGTAGCCGCCACCATAACCGCCTCCATAGCCTCCTCCTCGGCCGCCACCATAACCGCCTCCATAGCCTCCTCCTCGGCCGCCACCGTAACCGCCTCCACGGCCGCCACCATAACCGCCTCCATAGCCACCATATCTACTACCTCCTGCCAAAACACATGCCACCATGGCTGCCACCAGCAGAAGTGCGAAAGTGTATTTCTGAAACGGAACAAAATGCGATAAGCCGGATTGGAACAACGTAGTGAAAAATATAAATGGAAGGAACATAATAGATGGAAGAAACGGTATAGACAGAGTTAGATCAAAGATGCATAGGATTGAGATGACATTATGGAATATGCCCATAATTTATGAATTTCACGGAGTATGTGATTTATACCTTTCTTTGAGCCTATAGTGTATGTACTTGTTACGTTTATATTTCAAACCACTGAGTATACTGTATAATATATACACAATATATATTCAAAACTTTTGATTCAGTATAGAATCCAGGAATAAGTCATTAGGTTATACATAATATTCGTTCTAAAATTTGTACCTTAGAATGAGTTTATATTTAATCTTTTGATTTAATGTGTTTATATTTTTTGATTTAGCAACACAAACCATATGAGGCTTACATGTGGCTGATATATATATATATATATATATATATATATATATATATATATATATATATATATACATGTTCATATATATATAGACATACACACAGATATATGTGTATATATATACGTATGTGTGTGTGTCTGTGTGTGTGCGTGTGTGTGCGTCTGTGTTTGTGTGTGTGTGTGCATATAAACACTATATGTGTTTATATCATTTGTAGATATTTTCATATATATATATATAGACATGCATATTCTTATGTATTTACATGGATATGGATCTGTATATATATTTGTATATATGCATATACATATATACATATGTATGTGTATGCTTATTATATTTATACATTTATATACTTGTGTGTATGCATATATATGCGTGTGTGTGTGTGTGTGTATACACATACATACGTATATATTTATGCACAAATATATGTGTGTATACATATATATATACACGTATGTATGTAGTTGTGTATGTCGATATACTGTATATGAACGTGTGTGTGTGCTCGCACAAACGGATGTGCAGAAGCAAGCACACGAATTCACTTAAAGCATACTTACCATTGTGCAAAGCTTTCCGGTATGAAGTCAGGCCAGACTGTGCTTCGGGCTAAAGGAGTTCAAGCTTTTATATCCACGAAGGGAATCGCTCGGCCATTCGGCGCCTGAGAAATACACGTCATGGAATGTGATGGTATTTTCATGACAGATTATGACATTTTTTTCATGACTGGATTGATTCGGGTCTTTCATTATCGCTGAATTTTAACTACATTCAAAATATAACATTCTTTATATACGGAAATACTGTAGAATGGTAAGGGATATTTTTCAGTATAGATTCTGCCATATGGACTTATGGCAATGAAATACTAGTGGGCACTTCTTGACTTGTATTCTATTACTCATTCAGCTAAGCAAAGGATGTTAAATGTGAAGAAATATGAGACCATGATTCCTGACTCAAAACACACACACAAAAAAAAACTCATGCAAAAGTATTCCGTATTTTCCAGAGGAAATAAATGCATGTTTATATCTATTTGTTATATATTTATGTGACACGGGTTTTATTGTATTATCTTATTGAATTACACTATCTATTAATCAAGTTACAATCACATAATTCTTTTAGGATATTTCATTATTTGTTATTTCATCACAATTTTTGGTTAAAAAAATTATCGTTATGGAGATTGTGTATTATGCATTTACTGCAGACTTCTCCTATCATTCTTTTGATATATATATATATATATATATATATATATATATATATATATATATATGTGTGTGTGTGTGTGTGTGTGTGTGTGTGTGTGTGTACATATATATATACATGTATATATATATATGTATATATATATATATATATATATATATATATATATATTTATATGTATAAATATATATGTATATATATACATATATATATACATATATATGCATGTGTGTATATATATATATATATATATATATGTACATATACATATACATATATATATATAAATATATATATATATATATATATATATATATATATATGTATATATATTTATATATATGTATATATATGTATATATATATATATATATATATATATATATATATATATGTACATATATATATATACATATATATCTGTGTGTATGTGTATGTGTATGTGTATCTGTATCTGTATGTGTGTGTATTATGCATTATGTGTGTGTATTATGTGTGCGTGTTCGTGTGTGCGCGCGTGTGTGTGTGGGGGGGGGGGGTTATGTGTGGATGTATACATATGACAAGGTTATAATAAGAAAAATAATACATATATTTTCTTCCACCATAGCTATCAGAAAATGTTTATCCACGTACAAGAGGATTTCAACGTTCATAAAAATAAATTCTCTCTCTTTCTCTCTCTCTCTCTCTCTTTCTCTCTCTCTCTCTCTCTCTCTTTCTCTCTCTCTCTCTCTCTCTCTCTCTCTCTCTCTCTCTCTCTGTTACACATTAATGTGAATTTATCCATGAGTAAAACTCTTTGTTGCATTATCAATGTTATCATTATTTTCCTTAATAATAATAATCCTTACAATTACCGAATTGCTACTACTATTATCATTGCTATTAGTTTCATTATCTTTATAGCTGTTGTTTATGTCACCTTTATTATTAATTGTGTCATTAGTATCCCTATCATTATCATTATTAGCATCATCATTGTTAATATCATCACTATTATCATTATCATTATGATCATTTCTGTTATTATCATTATCATTATCATTATTATAAATATCCCCATTTTCATCATTATTATTAGTGTTATTTTTTAAATCATTATTATTGTCATTGTCATTATTATTGTAATCATTATTGTTATTACTATAATTATCATTATTATAATCGTTATTTGTAATATTATTACCATGATCCTTATTATTACTGCTGATATTATTATCATTATTACTATTTGTTATCATTATCATAAGTATCATAATAATCATTATCATTATCATAAATATCATAATAATCATTATCATTATCATAAAAATCATAATAATCATTATCATTATCATAAATATCATAATAGTTACAGTTATTTTTATAATGATGATAACAATGGTGATGGTAATTCATAACAATAATGATTTACTATTATTGTTCGTATTATCACTATTAGTATTATTTTTGTTTATATCATTATTATACTATCATTATTGTCACTAGTATCATTATCATCGTTATCATTATTTTTATTGTCATTATTATCATCATTATAAGTACTGATACTATTTTTATTATCATCATCATTGTTACCGTTATCATTATAATTATCACTGTTATCATCTTTAGTCTTATCATTATCATCATTATATTACCATCAATATTTTTATTATTAATGTTATAATTAATTTTATCATCACTGTTATCATTTATATCGCATTATCATTATAACTGTTTTATTGTTATTGGTATTAATAGCATAGTTTACCCCAGAAATTGCACATCATAATCGCTATCATTATCCAAACTCTTGTCATGTTGACCCCAACATACTGACCTTAACATGTTGGAGTCGAAGTCAGGTCGGAAAAACATTGGCCACCATGCCGCCTCAACCCGTGGCTTAGTGAGTATTTCCTTCTGCGAACATGTCATGAACGTGTCTTCTTGGATATGGGACCAATTTTGACATCATTTTGATATCATTAATTGACATCATTGGTCTTATTGATATTATTATCATTATCTATAGTAATAGTACTTTACTCTTCATCAAATTCATTAGTTTAGTTCTTTACGCTATTGTCCAATGTCAGCCCGTTCTTCTGAATTATTATTATAGCTATGATTGGAATTATATTCATTATCATTGTTAATTAATTACGCAAATTGTCGTTTTCTGTCACCATTACTATCGCCATCGCTTTTCTCAGAGATCGCAGAACAAAATAAGGCATTTAATATCAAATGTATTGTTGGAATTTATTATTTATTCGTTAATGATGTTAAATGATGGATAGATACTCGTATATTTCTTTATCATTATTATTAACAAGTTCAATTATTACAATTGGAATTATTTCCCGTATCCGTAGCCACCACCGTAACCGCCACCATAGCCTCCGCGACCGCCGCCATAGCCGCCTCCGCGACCGCCGCCATAACCGCCTCCGCGACCGCCGCCATAACCACCACCATAACCGCCTCCATAGCCTCCGCGACCGCCTCCGTAGCCACCACCATAACCGCCGCCATAACCGCCTCCGCGACCGCCGCCATAGCCGCCTCCGCGACCGCCGCCATAGCCACCGCCATAGCCTCCACGGCCACCTCCGTAGCCGCCACCGTAGCCTCCTCCAGAGCCTCCTGCCAGAACACAGGCCACCATGGCTGCCACCAACAGAAGTACGACAGTGTATTTCTGAAACGAAAATACATACGATAAGCTTACCTGGAAACTATGGAAACTGTAAAGTTGTATGAATCTGTTTCTGATTATTGAGTTTGAGTTTATATCATAAGCCTATGAATTGTGTACCTTAGAATGTGTTTATATTTTATGCGTTTGATTTGGTGTACAATCTTCGCCTTTAGATTAGTAATGAGTTCTCACAAGTGTAGCAAATTATACGATATGATTTCCTTTTTTCGCCTTACGTGTGGTTGATAATGATGGTGCAAAAAAGGGACATACTTATCACTAATGACAATGACAAAATAGTTATAGTTAAAGGGGTCGACATTGATAATAATTGTAGGAATGACTGAAACAGTGATATATATATATACATGCATGCATATATACATACATACCTAGACATATAGACATGCATATATGGGAGTGTATTATACATGTATGTACATATACATGTATATAGAGTGAGACACACACACTCGCATATATACATATATGCGTGTCTACAGATTGATATGTATGTATCTGTATATATATTGAAAATATATATATATATATACATACACATCATATGTACATATACACATACATATATGTCTCTGTTTGTATGTATACATATATGTATTTATATACATGTGTGTATCTGTATACAGACGTGCGGAAGCAAGCACACGCTTTCACTCAAAGCACTGAACTTACCATTGTGCAAAGCTTTCCGGTTTGAAGTCAGGCCAGACTGTGCTTCAGGCTAAGGGAGTTCAAGCTTTTATATCCACCAAGGGAATCGCTCGGCCGTTCTGCGCCTGAGAAACGCGTCATGGGATGTGATAGTATTTTCATGACGGATTTTTTTTTCATGGTCGGTTTGATTCGGGTGTTTTATTATCGCTGACTTTTAATTACTAGATTCTACAATCAGAATATAATCACCAGCATACACTGAGATGATCAATACACTTTTCTCTTGGAAATCACCAATTTGATTGCATTGTTTTCGCAGGTTAATGTTTATATGCTATTTTATGTTTATATTGCTCGTTGCTAGCATAGAATCGTTTTATTGTATTATTTGATTGAATTACCCTATTTCTAAATCAATCTTCAATCATATAATTCTGTTAGGTTATTTCATTGGTTCTAATTTCATCTGTATCACATTATTTTGTTTAAACAAAAATACTGTTCTGGAAATTATTGGTTATGCATTATCACAGTTGCTCACGGCCCTGTTATTTCATTTTCACCATTGCAGTTATTATTGCTGCAGACTTTATAATATATATATGCATCAATCTTACAATATATATATATATATATGCATAAATTTTATAATATATATATATATATGCATAAATTTTATAATATATGTATATATATATATGCATAAATTTTACAAAATATATATATATATATATATATATATATATATATATATATGTGCATAAATCTTATAATATATATGCATAAATTTTATAATATATATATATGCATCAATTTTATAATATATATATATATGTGCATCAATTTTATAATATACATATGCATCAATTTTATAACATATATTTGTATATAAATATATGCATATATGTGTGTCTATGTTTATATGTGCATTTATACATATGATAAAGTGATGATAAAAAAAGACTTTCTTTCAGAATTATGTTATGTAATCTTACAAGAGGAATTCAATAGTCATAAGAATAAATATAATACCCCCCCTCTCTCTCTCTCTCTCTCTTTCGCAGACAGATATACATACAGAAAAAAAGAGAAGTACTCAGATAGAAGAAATATACTCCGCAAAGTCCCTAATTACCAGATATCCTCTGAAAGATCTCTGAAGTGAACCTTTTGAGATTTCTGCGTGTTGGACAAACAAAATTGTTTCATTGAAAACTAGATATTCTTCCCATGCGTCGATGTTACACGTCAACATTACTCTTATTATCATTATTATTATTATTATCAGCAGCAGCATTATTGCTAATATTATCATTATTATTATTGTTATAATCATTATTGTTATTATCATTACGATAATCAATATCATTATCAATATTATAAGAAATATATATTATCATTATTATTATTATTGTTATTATTATTATTATTATCATATTTATAATTATTATTACTATCATCATCATTACTATTATTATTATTATCATCTTCATTATCATTATCATTGCCATTATCATTATCATTATTATAATCACCACTGTTTTTGTCATTATCATTACTATGATTATCACTGTTATGATTGTTATTATTGGTATCATAATTATCATTACTATTGAAATTATTGTCATTATCATTATTGCTATTATTTTTTGTTGTTATCATTATAATAACGACCATTACAATCATTATCATTATTGCAGTTATCATTATAACAATGATAATGATGTTAATGGTAATAGTAGCAATGATAATTATCATCATTACTATTATTAGTCTTATAATCATTATTGATGTTATTTTTGTTTGTATCATTACTATTATAATGATTACCATTGGTGTCACTAGTATCCTTATTATCTTTAGCGTTATCATTGTTGTCATTATTATCATTATCTCTACAATTTCTACAAGCATAACTGTTGTAATGATAATCACCTAACTCCCTATCTACCAATTATCGCCTGTTATTATCACTACTGTTATTATCATCATCATTAATAATAATAACAGTTTATCATTATTATTATTATCATTATTGTTGTTATCCTTATCATAATCATTATTAGTTATCATTATAATAATAACGATAATGGTAATATAAAAAAATATAATTGTTATCCTTACTATTACTATTCTTGTTATCATTGGTGTTATTTTTGTTTATATCATTATTTACATTACTTTTGTTTTTGTCATTACTATCATGATGATTAACATTACTGCCACTAGTATCAGTATTATTTCTATCATTATTATTGTCATTATTGTCATTAGTATCTTTATTATTACCATTATCCGTACTATTACTATAGTTATTTAAATCGTTACTATTGTTACTGTTATGATTGTTATCAATATTTTTATTATCATCATTATCATCACTTTTATATTTTTATCATAAGCATTGATGTTATCCTTTTATTAATATCATTATCATTTATATCAGCAATATCATTATAACTGTTTCATTGTTGCTGTTATTAATAGCGTAATTTACCATTGATATTGTACATTATAATCAAAGTCATAACCAGACTATTGTCACAACTGATATCATTAATAATCAGTATGTTGGGGTCAAAGTCAGGGTGGAGAGGACCTGGCCGTCCTATCGTGCCATCCCGCGGCTTAGTGAGCATTTTCCTGTGATTATATGTCCCCTATGTCCATTTGGATATGGGACCAATTTTGATTTATTGAATATCATTAATGAACATCATTGGTCTTATTATCACTGTTATCATTATCTATAGTAATTTTACTTTATTCTTCATTAAATTCATTAACTTTTCTGTCTTCACGATTGTCGAATATCAACAGTTCTATTCATTTTCATTATTATAGCTATTAATGTAACTATCATGTTCATTTTCATTGTTAATTCATTATGTCCGTTACTATTATCATTGCTATTGTCTAAGATCGCGAAAGAAAATAGGCCATTTCATAGAATAGATCTATTAAAAGTGGAATTTGTGTCATACCCTCATTAATGATGTCAAATGATGGATAGATACACGTGTAACTTTTTTAACAAGTTGAATTATTACAATCGAAATGATTATTTCCCGTATCCGTAGCCACCGCCGTAGCCGCCACCATAGCCTCCTCCACGGCCACCTCCGCGACCGCCGCCATAACCGCCACCGCGACCGCCTCCGTAGCCGCCACCATAACCGCCTCCATAGCCTCCATTACCGCCTCCGTATCCACCACCATAGCCTCCGCGACCGCCGCCATAGCCTCCGCGACCGCCGCCGTAGCCACCACCATAACCGCCTCCAGAGCCTCCTCCGTAGCCCCCACCATAGCCTCCGCCATAGCCTCCACGGCCTCCTCCGTAGCCGCCACCATAACCGCCTCCAGAGCCTCCCGCCAGAACACAAGCCACCATGGCTGCCACCAACAGAAGTGTAGCACCGTATTTCTGAAACGAAAATGCATACGATAAGCTTACCTGGAACACATACTTATGCAAACAGTAGAGTCGGACTTTTTATCAATGGAATAAAGGATTAAGTTGTATGTATATATCATGAATGAATCTGTTTCATTTGACTATTTATTGAGTTTACGTTTATATCTTGTATGTATATTGTTTATATATACATACAAACATACAAATGTACATACACATATACATATGTTTCTGTGTGTATATATACATGTATAAATGTATGTTTGTATACAGACGTGAGGAAGCAAACATACGCATTCGCTCAAAGCATACTTACCATTGTGCAAAGCTTTCCAGTATGAAGTCAGGCCAGACTGTGCTTCGGGCTAAAGGGAGTTCAAGCTTTTATATCCACCAAGGGAATCGCTCAGCCGTCATGCGCCTGAGATGTGATAGTATTTTCATGACAAATTTTTTTTCATGGTCGGTTTGATTCTTTCATTATCGCTGACTTTTAATTAATAGATTCTACAATCAAAATATAATTACCAGCATACACTGAGACGATCACTTCACTTTTCTCTTGCAAATCACCGATTTGGTTGCATTGTTTTCGCAGGTTTGTGAGAGTCATAAATGTTTATTTGCTATTTTATGTTTATGTAGCTCGTTACTAGCATATTGTCGTTTTATTGTATGATTTGATTGAGTTACCCTATTTCAAAATCAATCTTCAATCACATCATTCTGTAAGGCCATTTCATTGGTTCTAATTTCATCTGTATCACATTATTTTGTTTTAAAAAAATATTGCTAAGGAAATTATTAGTATTGCATTATCACAGTTGTTCACGGCCTTGTTATTACATCTTCACCATTGCAGTTATTATTGCTGCAGACTTTATAATATATATGCATCAATTTTGTAATATATATATGCATCAATCTTATAATATATATATATGTATATATATGTGTGTGTGTGTGTGTATGTGTGTCTGTTTATATGTGCATTTATACATATGATAAGGTGATGATAAAAAGTATTTTCTTTCAGAATTATGTTATATAATCTTGCTAGAGAATTCAACAGTCATAGGAATAAATGTAATATTCCTCTCTCTCTCTCTCTCTCTCTCTCTCTCTTTCGCAGACAGATATATATGCAGAAAAAGAGATGGAAGGGAAAGATAGAGATAATATAAACCGCAGAGTGTAATAAGCGACTAAATCTCTAATTACCAGTTATTTTTGAAAGATCTCTGAAATGAACCTTTTGACATTTTTGACATTTTTAAGTGTTGGACAAACAAAATTGTTTACTTGAATAACAAGATATTCTTTCCATGCGTGGATGTTACACGTCAACATTAATGTATCCGTGGGTATTACTCTTCGTTACATTACCATTATTATTACTATCATCATGATCCTTATAATTATTGCAACTACTAGTATTATCATTATTATTATCATTACCGCTATCATTCTTACTATAGCTGTTGTTTATGTCATTGTTGTTATTAATTTGATTATCATTAATATGCCTATTATTAATGTCATCATCATCATCATCATTATCATTGCTAATATTATCATTATTATTAGTGTTGTAATCATTAGTGTTATTATCATTATTATCCTCATTATCAATATTTTCATCATAGTTATTATTATTACTATTATTATCATTACTATTATTACTATTATTAATATTATTATTATCATTATTATTATTATTATTATTATCATCATCATCATCATTATCATTGGTATTGACATGGTTATCATTAATGTTATGTTATTGTCATCATTATCTTTTTATTCATTATTATCTCTTTCATAATCATCTTTATTATCCATAGTCTAATATCCTTATCATTATCATTATTATAATCATATTTGCTATTGTCATTATCGTTATTATAATTATCATTGTTCTGATTGTTATTATTAGTATCATTATTATTACTCTTGTTATAATTTTTTTCTTATTATCATCGTAATAACTATCATTATTATCATTATTGCAATTATCATTATAATAATGATAATGATGTTAATGATAGCAGTAACAATAATAATTATCATCATTACTATTATTATTCTTTTTATCATTACTGGTGTTATTTTTGTTTGTATCATTATTACTACTATAATTATTACTATTACTGTCACTAGTATCCTTATTATCTTTATCTTTATCCTTATCCTTGTTGTCATTATTATCATTATTACTACAACCCCTACTATAATTATTGTTGTAAGGATAATCAAAAACAAAATCCCTAATTATCCTCTATTATTATCACTACTGTTATTATTATTATCGTTACAGCTGTTTATATCAATTTGTCATATTATCATCTTTATTATCAATTATCATTATTAGGGTCATATTTATTGTTAGTATTATCATTATTTTTATAATCATTATTGTTATTATCTTTATCATAATCATAATCATATCATTATTATTGTCATTATTTTCATTATCACCAAAATCATTACTACTACTATTGCTATTTAAATCATTACTATTGCTTATTAACATTATTATTATTATTATTATTATCATCATTTTCATGTTATTATCATATTCATTGATGTTATTTTATCATTATCATTATATTCATTATTATCACTTATAATTATTATTACTCTCCATCATAATTTTGTTACTAATATCATCAATATTATTATCATCATTCACATTTGCATTATCATTATAGCTGTTTCATTGTTGCTGTTATTAAAACTGTTATTAGCGTAATTTATCATTGATATTGTACATTATAATCAGAGTCATAACCAGATTATTGTCACGACTGATATAATTAATAATCAGTATGTTGGGGTCAAAGTCCGGGTGGAGAGGAACTGACCGTCCTACCGTGCCATCCCGCGGCTTAGTGAGCATTTTCCTGTGTCAATATGCCCCTATATCCATTTCGATATGGGACCAATTTTGATTTATTGAATATCATTAATGAACATCATTGGTCTTATTGATATCACTGCTATCATTATCTAGTAATTTTCCTTTATTCTTATTCATTAGTTTTCTGTCTTCACGATTGTCGAATATCAACAGTTCTATTCATTATCATTATTATAGCTATTAATGTAACTATTATGTTCATTTTCATTTTTAATTTATTATGTCCGTTACTATTATCATCGCTATTGTCAGAGATCGCGAAACAAAATAGGCCATTTCATGGGATTTATCTATTAAAAGTGGACTTTGTGTCATACCCTCATTAATGATGTCAAATGATGGATAGATACACGTGTAACTTTTTTAACAAGTTGAATTATTACAATCGAAATTATTATTTCCCGTATCCGTAGCCACCGCCGTAGCCGCCACCATAGCCTCCTCCACGGCCACCTCCGCGACCGCCGCCATAACCGCCACCATAACCGCCTCCGCGACCGCCTCCGTAGCCGCCACCATAACCGCCTCCGCGACCGCCGCCATATCCGCCTCCGTATCCACCACCATAGCCTCCGCGACCGCCGCCATATCCGCCTCCATAGCCTCCGCGACCACCGCCGTAGCCGCCACCATAACCGCCTCCAGAGCCTCCTCCGTAGCCCCCACCATAGCCTCCGCCATAGCCTCCACGGCCTCCTCCGTAGCCGCCACCATAACCGCCTCCAGAGCCTCCCGCCAGAACACAAGCCACCATGGCTGCCACCAACAGAAGTGTGACACTGTATTTCTGAAACGAAAATGCATACGATAAGCTTACCTGGAACACATACTTATGCAAACAGTAGAGTCGGACTTTTTTATCAATGGAATAAAGGATTAAGTTGTATGTATATATCATGAATGAATCTGTTTCATTTGACTATTTATTGAGTTTACGTTTATATCTTGTATGTATATTGTTTATATATACATACAAACATACAAATGTACATACACATATACATATGTTTCTGTGTGTATATATACATGTATAAATGTATGTTTGTATACAGACGTGAGGAAGCAAACACACGCATTCGCTCAAAGCATACTTACCATTGTGCAAAGCTTTCCAGTATGAAGTCAGGCCAGACTGTGCTTCGGGCTAAAGGGAGTTCAAGCTTTTATATCCACCAAGGGAATCGCTCAGCCGCCATGCGCCTGAGAAACGCGTCATGAGATGTGATAGTATTTTCATGACAGAATTTTTTTCATGGTCGGTTTGATTCTTTCATTATTGCTGACTTTTAATTACTAGATTCTACAATCAGAAAATAATTACCAGCATACACTGAGATGATCACTTCTCTTTTCTCTTGCAAATCACCGATTTGGTTGCAATGTTTTCGCAGGTTTGTGAGTCATAAATGTTTATTTGCTATTTTATGTTTATGTAGCTCGTTACTAGCATATTATCGCTTTATTGTATTATTTGATTGAATTACCCTATTTCAAAATCAATCTTCAGTCACATCATTCTATAAGGCCATTTCATTGGTTCTAATTTCATCTGTATCATATTATTTTGTTTTAAAAAAATATATATTGCTAAGGAAATTATTGGTATTGCATTATCACAGTTGTTCACGGCCTTGTTATTTCATTTTCACCATTGCAGTTATTATTGCTGCAGACTTAAATATGCATTAATTTTATGATATATATACATATATATGTATATATATAAATATGTATATATATATGTATATATATAAATATGTATATATATATGTATATATATGTGTGTGTGTGTGTGTGTATGTATGTGTGGTTTGTGTTTTATATGTGCATTTATACATATGATAAGGTGATGATAAAAAAATACTTTCTTTAATTATGTCATAGGAATAAATGTAATATTAAAATTCCTCTCTCTCTCTCTTTCGCAGACAGATATATATACAGAAAAAGAGATGGAATAGAAAAATAGAGATAATATACACCGTAAAGTGTAATAAGGACTAGATCTCTAATTACCAGTTATTTTTGAAAGATTTCTGAAGTGAACCTTTTGACATTTTTACGTGTTGGACAAACAAAATTGTTTACTTGAATAACAATATATTCTTTCCATGCGTGGTTGTTACACGTCAACATTAATGTATCCATGGGTATTACTCTTTGTTACATTACTATTATTATTACTATCATCATGATCCTTATAATTATTGCAACTACTAGTATTATCATTATTATTATCATTACCGCTATCATTCTTACTATAGCTGTTGTTTATGTCATTTTTGTTATTAATTTAATTATCATTAATATGCCTATTATTAATATCATCATCATCATCATTATCATTGCTAATATTATCATTATTATTACTGTTGTAATCATTAGTGTTATTATCATTATTATCCTCATTATCAATATTTTCATCATAGTTATTATTATTACTATTATTATCATTACTATTATTACTATTATTAATATTATTATTATCATTATTATTATTATTATTATTATTATTATCATCATCATCATCATTATCATTGGTATTGACATGGTTATCATTAATATTATGTTATTGTCATCATCATTATCTTTTTATTCATTATTATCTCTTTCATAATCATCTTTATTATCCATAGTCTAATATCCTTATCATTATCATTATAATCATATTTGTTATTGTCATTATCGTTATTTTAATTATCATTGTTATGATTGTTATTATTATTATCATCATTATCATTATTATTACTATTGTTATTTTTTTTTTATTATCATCAAAATAACTATCATTATTATCATTATTGCAATTATTATAATAATGATAATGATGTTAATGATAGCAGTAATAATAATTATCATCATTACTATTATTATTCTTTTTATCATTACTGGTGTTATTTTTGTTTGTATCATTATTACTACTATAATTATTACTATTACTGTCACTAGTATCCTTATTATCTTTATCTTTATCCTTATCCTTGTCATTATTATCATTATTACTACAACCCCTACTATCATTATTGTTGTAATGATAATCAAAAACTAAATCCCTAATTATCCTCTATTACTATCACTACTGTTATTATTATTATCGTTACAGCTGTTTATACCAATTTGTCATATTATTATCATCTTTATTATCAATTATCATTATTAGGGTCATATTTATTGTTAGTAGTATCATTATTTTTATAATCATTATTGTTATTATCTTTATCATAATCTTAATCATATCATTATCATTATTTTCATTATCATCAATATCATTACTACTACTATTGCTATCTAAATCATTACTATTACTTATTAATATTGTTATCATTACTATCATTAAAATCACTTTCATGTTATTATCATATTCATTGATGTTACTTTATCACTATCATTATATTCATTATTATTATTACTTATAATTATTATTACTCTCCATCATCATTTTGTTACTAATATCATCAATATTATTAACATCATTCACATCAGCATTATCATTATAGCTGTTTCATTGTTGCTGTTATTAATACTGTTTTTAGCGTAATTTATCATTGATATTGCACATTATAATCAAAGTCATAACCAGACTATTGTCACGACTGATAGCATTAATAATCAGTATGTTGGGGTCAAAGTCGGGGTGGAGAGGAACTGGCCGTCCTACCGTGTCATTCCGCGGCTTAGTGGGCATTTTCCTGTGTTAACATGTCCCCTATGTCCATTTGGGTATGGGACCAATTTAGATTTATTGAATATCATTAATGAACATCATTGGTCTTATTGATATCATTGCTATCATTATCTATAGTAATTTTCCTTTATTCTTCATTAAATTCATTAGTTTTCTGTCTTCACGATTGTCGAATATCAACAGTTCTATTCATTATCATTATTATAGCTATTAATGTAACTATCATGTTCATTTTCATTGTTAATTCATTATGTCCGTTACTATTATCATCGCTATTGTCTGAGATCGCGAAACAAAATAGGCCATTTCATGGAATAAATCTATTAAAAGTAGAATTTGTGTCATACCTTCATTAATGATGTCAAATGATGGATAGATACACGTGTAACTTTTTTAACAAGTTGAATTATTACAATCGAAATTATTATTTCCCGTATCCGTAGCCACCGCCGTAGCCGCCACCATAGCCTCCTCCACGGCCACCTCCGCGACCGCCGCCATAACCGCCTCCGCGACCGCCTCCGTAGCCGCCACCATAACCGCCTCCGCGACCGCCGCCATAACCGCCTCCATAGCCTCCATTACCGCCTCCGTATCCACCACCATAGCCTCCGCGACCGCCGCCATATCCGCCTCCATAGCCTCCGCGACCGCCGCCGTAGCCGCCACCATAACCGCCTCCAGAGCCTCCTCCGTAGCCCCCACCATAGCCTCCGCCATAGCCTCCACGGCCTCCTCCGTAGCCGCCACCATAACCGCCTCCAGAGCCTCCCGCCAGGACACAGGCCACCATGGCTGCCACCAACAGAAGTGTGACACTGTATTTCTGAAACGAAAATGCATACGATAAGCTTACCTGGAACACATACTTATGCAAACAGTAGAGTTGGACTCTTTTATCATTGGAATAAAGGATTAAGTTGTATGTACATTTGTATGTATAAAAACATACAGATGTACATACACATATACATATGTTTCTGTGTGTATAAATGTATGTTTGTATACAGACGTGAGGAAGCAAACACACGCATTCACTCAAAGCATACTTACCATTGTGCAAAGCTTTCCAGTATGAAGTCAGGCCAGAATGTGCTTCGGGCTAAAGGGAGTTCAAGCTTTTATATCCACCAAGGTAATCGCTCAGCCGTCATGCGCCTGAGAAACGCGTCATGAGATGTGATAGTATTTTCATGACAGAATTTTTTTCATGGTCGGTTTGATTCTTTCATTATCGCTGACTTTTAATTACTAGATTCTACAATCAAAATATAATTACCAGCATACACTGAGATGATCACTTCACTTTTCTCTTGCAAATCACCGATTTGGTTGCATTGTTTTCGTAGGTTTGTGAGAGTCATTAATGTTTATTTGCTATTTTATGTTTATGTAGCTTGTTACTAGCATATTATCGTTTTATTGTATTATTTGATTGAATTACCCTATTTCAAAATCAATCTTCAGTCACATCATTCTGTAAGGCCATTTCATTGGTTCTAATTTCATCTGTATCATATTATTTTGTTTTAAAAAAATATTGCTAAGGAAATTATTGGTATTGCATTATCACAGTTGTTCACCGCCTTGTTATTTCATTTTCACCATTGCAGTTATTATTGCTGCAGACTTTATAATATATATGCATCAATTTTGTAATATATATATATGCATCAATCTTATAATATATATATATGTATATATGTGTGTGTGTGTGTGACTGTGTGTGTGTATGTGTGTCTGTTTATATGTGCATTTATACATATGATAAGGTGATGATAAAAAAAATACTTTCTTTCAGAATTATGTTATATAATCTTGCTAGAGAATTCAACAGTCATAGGAATAAATGCAATATTCCTCTCTCTCTCTCTCTCTTTCGCAGACAGATATATATGCAGAAAAAGAGATGGAAGGGAAAGATAGAGATAATATAAACCGCAGAGTGTAATAAGCGAATAAATCTCTAATTACCAGTTATTTTTGAAAGATCTCTGAAATGAACCTTTTGACATTTTTAAGTGTTGGACAAACAAAATTGTTTACTTGAATAACAAGATATTCTTTCCATGCGTGAATGTTACACGTCAACATTAATGTATCCGTGGGTATTACTCTTCGTTACATTACCGTTATTATTACTATCATCATGATCCTTATAATTATTGCAACTACTAGTATTATCATTATTATTATCATTACCGCTATCATTCTTACTATAGCTGTTGTTTATGTCATTGTTGTTATTAATTTGATTATCATTAATATGCCTATTATTAATGTCATCATCATCATCATTATCATTGCTAATATTATCATTATTATTACTGTTGTAATCATTAGTGTTATTATCATTATTATCCTCATTATCAATATTTTCATCATAGTTATTATTATTACTATTATTATCATTACTATTATTACTATTATTAATATTATTATTATTATTATTATTATTATTATTATCATCATCATCATCATCATTATCATTGGTATTGACATGGTTATCATTAATATTATGTTATTGTCATCATCATTATCTTTTTATTCATTATTATCTCTTTCATAATCATCTTTATTATCCATAGTCTAATATCCTTATCATTATCATTATTATAATCATATTTGTTATTGTCATTATCGTTATTATAATTATCATTGTTATGATTGTTATTATTAGTATCATCATTATCATTATTATTACTCTTGTTATTATTTTTTTCTTATTATCATCGCAATAACTATCATTATTATCATTATTGCAATTATCATTATAATAATGATAATGATGTTAATGATAGCAGTAACAATAATAATTATCATCATTACTATTATTATTATTTTTATCATTACTGGTGTTATTTTTGTTTGTATCATTATTACTACTATAATTACTACTATTACTGTCACTAGTATCCTTATTATCTTTATCTTTATCCTTATCCTTGTTGTCATTATTATCATTATTACTACAACCCCTACTATAATTATTGTTGTAAAGATAATCAAAAACAAAATCCCTAATTATCCTCTATTATTATCATTACTGTTATTATTATTATCGTTACAGCTGTCTATATCAATTTGCCATATTATTATCATCTTTATTATCAATTATCATTATTAGGGTCTTATTTATTGTTAGTATTATCATTATTTTTAGAATCATTATTGTTATTATCTTTATCATAATCATAATCATATCATTATTATTGTCATTATTTTCATTATCACCAATATCATTACTACTACTATTGCTATTTAAATCATTACTTTTACTTATCAATATTGTTATTATTATCATTATCATCATTTTCATGTTATTATCATATTCATTGATGTTATTTTATCATTATCATTATATTCATTATTATTATCACTTATAATTATTATTACTCTCCTTCATAATTTTGTTATCAATATTATTATCATCCTTCACATCTGCATTATCATTATATAGACCAATTTTGATTTATTGAATATCATTAATGAACATCATTGGTCTTATTGATATCACTGCTATCATTATCTATAGTAATTTTACTTTATTCTTCATTAAATTCATTCGTTTTTCTGTCTTCACGATTGTCGAATATCAACAGTTCTATTCATTTTCATTATTATAGCTATTAATGTAACTCTCATGTTCATTTTCATTGTTAATTCATTATGTCCGTTACTATTATCATCGCTATTGTCAGAGATCGCAAAAGAAAATAGGCCATTTCATAGAATAAATCTATTAAAAGTGGAATTTGTATCATACCTTCATTAATGATGTCAAATGATGGATAGATACACGTGTAACTTTTTTAACAAGTTGAAATATTACAATCGAAATGATTATTTCCCGTATCCGTAGCCACCGCCGTAGCCGCCACCATAGCCTCCTCCACGGCCACCTCCGCGACCGCCGCCATAACCGCCACCATAACCGCCTCCGCGACCGCCTCCGTATCCACCACCATAGCCTCCGCGACCGCCGCCATAACCGCCACCATAACCGCCTCCGCGACCGCCTCCGTATCCACCACCATAGCCTCCGCGACCGCCGCCATATCCGCCTCCATAGCCTCCGCGACCGCCGCCGTAGCCGCCACCATAACCGCCTCCAGAGCCTCCTCCGTAGCCCCCACCATAGCCTCCGCCATAGCCTCCACGGCCTCCTCCGTAGCCGCCTCCAGAGCCTCCCGCCAGGACACAGGCCACCATGGCTGCCACCAACAGAAGTGTGACACCGTATTTCTGAAACGAAAATGCATACGATAAGCTTACCTGGAACACATACTCATGCATACAGTAGAGTTGGACTTTTTTATCAGTGGAATAAAGGATTAAGTTGTATATGTATATATCATGAATGAATTTGTTTCATCTGACTATTTATTGAGTTTACGTTTATATCTTGTATGTATATTGTTTATATATACATACAAACATATAAATGTACATACACATATACATATGATTATGTGTGTATATATACATGTATAAATGTATGTTTGTATACAGACGTGAGGAAGCAAACACACGCATTCACTCAAAGCATACTTACCATTGTGCAAAGCTTTCCAGTATGAAGTCAGGCCAGACTGTGCTTCGGGCTAAAGGGAGTTCAAGCTTTTATATCCACCAAGGGAATCGCTCAGCCGTCATGCGCCTGAGAAACGCGTCATGAGATGTGATAGTATTTTCATGACAGAATTTTTTCATGGTCGGTTTGATTTGGGTCTTTCATTATCGCTGACTTTTAATTACTAGATTCTACAATCAGAATATAATTATCACTGAGATGATCACTTCACTTTTCACTTGCAAATCACCGATTTGGTTGCATTGTTTTCGCAAGTTTGTGAGAATAATGTTTATTTGCTATTTTATGTTTATGTTGCTCGTTGCTAGCATATTATCGTTTTATTGTATTATCTGATTAAATTACCCTATCATTCTGTCAGGCTATTTCATTGCTTCTAATTTCATCTGTATCACATTATCTTGTTTTAAAAACATATTGTTAAGGAAATTATTGGTATTGCATTATCAAAGTTGTTCACGGCCGTGTTATTCCATTTTCACCATTGCAATTATTATTGCTGCAGACTTTATGATATATATGCATCAATTTTATAATATATTTATGCATTAATCTTATAATATATATATATATATGTATATATGTGTGTGTGTGTGTGATTGTGTGTGTGTATATATGTGTGTCTGTGTTTATGTGTGCATGTATACATATGATAAGGTGATGATAAAAAAATACTTTCTTTCAGAATTATGTTATGTAATCTTACTAGAGAATTCAACAGTCATAGGAATAAATGTAATATTCCTCTCTCTTTCGCAGACAGATATATATGCAGAAAAAGAGATAGAATAGAAAGATAGAGATAATATACACCGCAAAGTGTAATAAACGACTAAATCTCTAATTACCAGTTATTTTTGAAAGATCTCTGAAGTGAACCTTTTGACATTTTTACGTGTTGGACGAACAAAATTATTTAATTGAATAACAAGATATTCTTTCCATGCGTGGATGTTACACGTCAACATTAATGTATCCATGGGTATTACTCTTTGTTACATTACCATTATTATTACTATCATCATGATCCTTATAATCATTGCAACTACTAGTATTATCATTATTATTATCATTACCGCTATCATTCTTACTATAGCTGTTGTTTATGTCATTGTTATTAATTTGATTATCATTAATATGCCTATTATTAATGTCATCATCATAATCAATCATCATCATCACCATCATCATTATTATCATTATCATCATCATCATCATCATCATCATCATTGCTAATATTATCATTATTATTACTGTTGTAATCATTAGTGTTATTATCATTATTATTATCCTCATTATCAATATTTTCATCATAATTATTATTACTATTATTATCATTACTATTATTACTATTATTAGTATTATTACTATTATTATTGTCATTATTATTATTATTATTATTATTGTTATTATTATTATTATCATCATCATCATTATCGTTGGTATTGATATGGTTATCATTAATGTTATATTATTGTCATCATCATTATCTTTTTATTCATTCTTATCTTTTTTCATAATCATCTTTATTATCCATACTCTAATATATTTATCATTATCATTATTATAAACATATTTGTTATTGTCATTATCGTTATTAAAATTATCATTATGATTATTATTAGTAGTATCATCATCATTATCATTATCATTATTATTACTATTGATATTATTATTTATTATTATCATAATAATAACTATCATTATTATCATTATTGCAATTATCATTATAATAATGATAATGATGTTAATGATAGCAGTAACAATAATAATTATCATCATTACTATTATTATTCTTTTTATCATTACTGGTGTTGTTTTTGTTTGTGTCATTATTACTACTATAATTATTACCATTACTGACACTAGTATCCTTATTATATTCATCTTTATCCTTATCCTTGTCCTTATTAACACTATTACTACAACCCCTACTATAATTATTGTTGTAATGATAATCAAAAACTAAATCCCCAATTATCCTATTATTATCACTACTGTTATTATTATCGTTACATCTGTTTATATCAATTTGTCATATTATTATCATCATTATTATCAATTATCATTATTAGGGTCATATTTATTGTTTGTATTATCATTATTTTTATAATCATTATTGTTATTATCTTTATCATAATCATAATCATATCATTATTATTGTCATTATTGCCATTATTTTCATTATCACCAATATCATTACTACTACTATTGCTATTTAAATCATTACTATTACTTATTAATATTGTTATCATTATCATTATCATCATTTTCATGTTGTTTATCATATTCATTGATGTTATTTTATCATTATCATTATATTCATTATTATTATCACTTATAAATTTTATTCTCCATCATCATTTTGTTACTAATATCATCAATATTATTATCATCATTCACATCTGCATTATCATTATAGATGTTTCATTGTTGTTGTTGTTGTTTATTAGAGTAATTTATCATTGAAATTGCACATCATAACCAATGTCCTAACCAGACTATTGCCACGACTGATAGCATTAATAATCAGTATGTTGGGGTCAAAGTCGGGATGGAAAGGAACTGGCTGTCCTACCGTGCCATCCCGCGGCTTCGTGGGCATTTTCCTGAGCGAACATGTCCCCTATGTCAATTTGGATATGGGACCAATTTTGATTTATTGAATATCATTAATTAACATCATTGGTCCTATCTATCTATCTATAGTAATTTTACTTTATTCTTTATTAAATTCATTAGTTTTTTTTTTTTGTTTTGTTTTTTTGGTCTTCACGATTGTCGAATATCTTTTCATTATCATTATAATTGTAACTATCATCTTCCTTGTCATTGCTAATTAATTACGTCCGTTACTATTATCATCGCTGTTGACAGAGATCGCAGAACAAATAAATCTATTTAAGGTCATGATATGTTCAATAATGATATCAAATGATGGATAGATACACGTGTAATCTTTTAACAATTTAAATTATTACAATCAGAATTATTATTTCCCGTATCCGTAGCCGCCACCATAACCGCCTCCAGAGCCTCCGTAGCCACCACCATAGCCTCCGCGACCGCCGCCATAACCGCCACCATATCCGCCTCCGCGACCGCCTCCGTAGCCGCCACCATAACCGCCTCCGCGACCGCCGCCATAACCGCCTCCATAGCCTCCATTACCGCCTCCGTATCCACCACCATAGCCTCCGCGACCGCCGCCATATCCGCCTCCATAGCCTCCGCGACCGCCGCCGTAGCCGCCACCATAACCGCCTCCAGAGCCTCCTCCGTAGCCCCCACCATAGCCTCCGCCATAGCCTCCACGGCCTCCTCCGTAGCCGCCACCATAACCGCCTCCAGAGCCTCCCGCCAGGACACAGCCCACCATGGCTGCCACCAACAGAAGTGTGACACCGTATTTCTGAAACGAAAATGCATACAATAAGCTTACCTGGAACACATACTTATGCAAACAGTAGAGTTGGACTTTTATCAGTGGAATAAAGGATTGAGCTGTATGTATATATCGTGTATGAATCTGTTTCATTTTACTATTTATTGAGTTTTCGTTTATATCTTATGTGTATGTGCATGTGTATTGTATATATATACATACATACGTATGTACATACACACATACATATGTCTCTGAGTGTATATATACATATATACATGTTTGTGTGTATACAGACGTTAGGAAGCAAGCACACGCATTCACTCAAAGCATACTTACCATTGTGCAAAGCTTTCCGGTATGAAGTCAGGCCAGACTGTGCTTCAGGCTAAAGGGAGTTCAAGCTTTTATATCCACCAAGGGAATCGCTGAGAAGCACGCGTCATGTAATGTAATAGTATTTTCATGACAGAATTTCGTGACATTTTTTTTTTTTTTTTTTTTTTTTTTTGTGGTCGGCTTGATTCGGGTCTCTTATTATCGCTGAATTTTGATTACTGGATTTTACATTGAGAATTTAATTGCGAACATACACTGAGGTAATTAATTTACTTGTCTCTTGCAAATCACCAATTTGGTTGCATTAATGTTTATGCAGATTTGTAGAAATAATTCATCACAATTTCAACGGAATGGCCTGTAGCGCGAAAATTGCATTCGTAAGGTGCACAATCGATATCGTCCCGAAAATGTAGAATGGTAAGGAATATTTTTCAGTATGGAGTCTGCCATATGAACTTTTAAGTTAGTAGGCACTTCTTAACTTGTATTTAATACATATTCAGCTAAGTAAAGGATGTTAACTGTGCATAACTATGGTTCTTGACTCGTCAGCCTTGCTAATGAACTAGTAATGGGAAATATGTGTGAAGATAATTACAAGACCGTTAATAATAGCATAAACATATAAATATATGTAGTAGATGAGTTTAAACACAATATTGAAAACACCAAAAGCTCGCACAAAAGTATTCTTATTTCAACGGAACGTAATATATATTTATGGCCAAGTGCGTTGCTATCATATCCGGTTTTTATTGTATATATATTTGGATGTTACACGTCAATGTTAATGAAAATTTATTTAAGGGTACTACATTTTGTTGCATAATCATTGCCATTAATATCATCACAATCCTTAAAATTACTGGTACTAGTACTATTATCATTGTTATTGTTATCTTTGGTATTATTCATTTTTTTTACATTATTATCCATATCCTCATTAGTGTTAGTATTAGTATAATGAATATTACTACTCATCATTATCACTGCTATTAATGTGGTTAGTAGTATTATCATCATTATCATTTTCGTTATTCTTATTTTCATTAACATTATCATTTTCTTTATTACCATCATCATTATTGCTATTATCAATATCATTATCATTGCCATTTTTCTAATGATTATTATTATCGTTATTGCTATCGTCATTATTATTATCATTATAATTACAATAATTATAATTATTATTATCATCGGCAGTACTTTTGTTATCATTATCACAACTATCATTATAATCCTGATTATTATCATTATTGCAGTTATCATTATGCTAAAAAAAACAGTAATAATGGTAACAATAACAGTAATGATTATCACTACTATTGTTCTTATTATCATTACTGATATTATTTTTGTTTGTATCATTATTACTTTAATGATTATTATCATTATTGTCACTAGTATCATTATCTTTATAATTGTCATTATCATCATTATTATCATTATCATTACTACTACTGTTATTACTGTTATTATTATTACCAATATTCATTTGTTTCATATTCTTTTATAATTATTATCAATGTCTTTATTATAACTCTCCATCACCTTCCATAATATAATTTTACTACTATTATTATCTTTATTATCATCATCATTGTCATTATCATTTTGGTTATTAATATTATGCTTAATATTTTCATTATTATCATTTATATTAGCATTATCACTATAATTGTTTTATCGTTAGTGTTATTAATACTATAATCCACAACGCCATTATCCAAATTATTAGCATTCCTGATATCATTAATATTCAGCATGCTGGGGTCAGAGCCGGGGTTCCAAATTTGTCTTACTGAATGTTATTAATTAACATCATTGGTCTTATTGATATCATTATCATACAAGGGTATTAATGTTACTTTGTTCTTTATTAAATGTAGTTTCGTTTTCTTCGCTATAGTATAATACCGGACGATTTTTTTTCATTGTCTTTATCATTATAGCTATTATTGTAATCATTATGTTTATCATTATAGTTAATTCATTACGTCCATTGTACTTTTCTGTCACCGTTACTATTATCGTCGCTTTTGTCAGATATCGCAGAACAAAATAGGGCACTTAATATCATGAATGTATTAAAAGTGTTGGAATATATGTAAGACGGATGATTTATTTATTACTAACAAGTTGATTTTTTACAATCGGAATTATTATTTCCCGTATCCGTAGCCGCCGCCATAGCCTCCTCCACGACCGCCGCCATAGCCGCCTCCGCGACCGCCGCCATAACCACCACCATAGCCTCCGCGACCGCCTCCGTAGCCTCCGCCATAGCCGCCTCCGTAGCCCCCACCATAACCTCCGCGACCGCCGCCATAACCGCCGCCATAACCGCCACCATAGCCGCCTCCTCTACCGCCGCCATAACCACCACCATAGCCTCCATAGCCGCCACCATAACCGCCTCCAGAGCCTCCCGCCAAGACACAGGCCGCCATGGCTGCCACCAACAGAAGTGCGAGAGTATATTTCTGAAACATGAACAGATACGATGAGCTTCTGTGGAAAACAGCTATAGAAACAGTATAGCTGGACTAAGATCAATAAAATACAGATATACTTGGGAATATATCCATCATGTACGAATTAGTATCATCTGACTATATATTGAGTTTGCATTTATATTTTAAGCTTCTGATTGAGTTTATATCTATTGTCTATGATGAATTGGTGTACCTTAGAATTAATATATATTTCATGTACTACATTTGGCCTGTATCTTTGCCTTTATGTGAATAATATAAAGTACAAGAGGTCCCACAAGTGCAGCAAATCATACAATGTTACTTCCATTTTTGCCCTGCGTGTGGTTGATAATGATGATGAAATTGCGAAAAAGGAGTGTTTGTGGTTGTGATATATACATATGTCTCTACATTCATGCATAAATACAGCCATGCATATATATATATATATGTGTGTGTTATATGTATGAATGGGGAAACACGCACACATACACACACACACACACATATATATACATATATATTTGTCTATTTATAGACTGATATATATATATATATATAATCTATATATACACATACATATACACATGTATATACATATACATGTATATGAATGCATATATATGTGTGTGTACATATATGTATACTATATGTATGTATATATATATATATTATACTATATCATATATATATGTACATGCAAAGAGAGATGCATATACATACACACGCAAACACATATATATGTCTCTATATATTTGTGTATGTATATATTTTACATATATACATATAGATATATGTATGTACGCATCTATGTGTGTGTGTTTGTACAGACGTGCAGAAACAAGCACACGTTTTCATCCAAAGCAATATACTTACCATTGTGGAAAACTTTCCTGTATGAAGTCAGGCAAGACTGTGCTTCAGGCCAAAGGGAGTTCAAGCTTTTATATCCACCAAAGGGAATCGCTCGGCCGTTCTGCGCCCCAGAAACACGCGTCATGTAATGTGATAGTATTTTCATGACAGAATTTCATGACATTTTTTTTTTTTTTTTCTTATGGCCGGGTCGGGTCCTTTATTATCGCTAGATTTTGCATTGAGAATTGGATTACGCATACACTAAGATCAATTTACTTTGGTTGCGTTCTTGTTTATGCAGGTTTGCGGGAAT